TCACCCGCGAACACTTTCCCCTCTGCCACCTCGAGCTCCACAGGGTTCCGAAGAGGCGGCGAAAAACAACGAGCAGCAGGGGTGGGACAAGCCATCGCCATCTTCTCCTCTTCAGTCACCTCCCTCTTCAGGTGCCTAGATGAGAAGCTGCCGTTTATATAACACGTGGTCCATACGTTCCCCATGGCATCACGCATCGGCACCTTCACACGGCCACAAAGAAGCGGGGCGTCATGTGGCACCCAACCCCACCGTGGATCCCTCCTGGCATCAGTCTGTGGGCAAACCGAACTCGCTGCAGTGTCCAACCCGCCAATCACCCATGACTCTCCGCAGTCAACACTGTCGTATTCAAAATCATTGAGCCTCAACTCGCCCTTCGCGTCTAGAACATGCCACAGTTTCAACACATGCCGCGATTTGTCGTCAGCGCTCACCTCATCGTTCAACCTCAGCACTCTGTCGAAGATGATTGACAGAGTCACGCCCCTCCACGACGTCGCTTTGGGGGCGGGATATGGAACCCATTCCCCATTGACTTTGAACGCGAAGCACGACGCTCCTCCAACGATACCCGGTTGAAGACGACCAGGCACCCAATTGATGTCATAGGGGAAGAGAGTTCCTGCCGACGTCCTGACCACATTCTCGTCTGCAACAACACACCCTGCATCATTCCCACTGGCCTCACCATCCATCATCATGTCTGCAGTCTGCTCACAAATTGCCGCAAGGACCACTGCACAGTCTGTAGTGTTTGCTCCGGCCGATATCCCTTCGTTGCTGACAACTGCGATACCCTTGACAATGTCCTGGGTCTCCATCGCGCATGTCTCCACGCCGTTGACATTCGATTGAATCGCAGGCTCCATCTATTGCATGACACATCACATACATTTATGAGAAGCCCTAGCAGCGATGTGGCCCCCTCACCAGAGAGAGAGAGAGAGAGAGAGAGAGAGAGAGAGAGAGAGAGAGAGACTGGGACAGAGAGAGTGTGAGAGAGAGAGAGAGAGAGAGAGAGAGGTTGACTACTGCGGGTCAGAACGAGAACAACCAGCAGCGGTGTGCACTTACGTGGCCCGCAGTAGTCAACCTCTCTCTCTCTCATGCAGACATACACTGCGTTAGAGGGCGGTTGGCTACTGCGGGCCGTTGGGACAACAACCAGCATCGGTACACACTGACATGGCACGCAGTAGTCAACCTCACCCAGCTGGAAAAAAAATAAAAAAATGTGGCACCAGCGTGAGGTTGACTACTGCGGGCCAAAACGAGAACAACCAGCAGCGGTGTACAGTTACATGGCCCGCAGTAGTCAACCTCGCCCATACAGGCAGACATACACTGCGTTAGAGGGCGGTTGGCTACTGCGGGCCATCGGGACAACAATAAGCATCGGTACACACTGACATGGCACGCAATAGTCAACCTCACCCAGCTGGAAAAACAGAAAAAAATGTGGCACCAGTGACAGGTTGACTACTGCGGGCCAGAACGAGAACAACCAGAAGCGGTGTACACTTACATGGCCCGCAGTAGTCAACCTCGCCCATACAGGCAAACATACACTGCGTTCCGGATGCAGTTGGCTACTGCGGGCCATTGTGACAACAACCAGTATCGGTACAGACTGACATGGCACGCAATAGTCAACCTCACCCACCTGGGAAAACAGAAAAAAATGTGGCACCAGCGACAGGTTGACTACTGCGGGCCTGTGACGCACGTGGTGAGATTTCAGTGCGGCAACATCACTGCACGCCAACAGGACGTGTGGCGCAGGCGCATCCTTCCCAAGAGTGGCCCCATTTCCCGAACACACTCCGATTGGTCTGTCAGCTTCTTCTCTTCCCTTCTTCGTTTCACCTTCTCCACATCCCATAACATCTCCTTCCATACATGTCACCGTCAGTTCTCCAACCAACAACCTGCCTCGAGTGTGTTGCAGGGCATCCATTACGTCTTCGCAACTACTCAGCAGAGACGCGATTTTTGCAGGAAGCTCGTCATTAACAGACCCGACACCCACTTCACTCAGACCGTACTCCTCGACGGTTTCCGTACAGTGGCGAATGCAGTCCTCGGCGAAGGCTAAGAGGTCAAAGACGCTGAGTACCGTCGTAAGTAGCGAACCTTTGTTGTAATCTTGGTTATTATACGATGTCCACCCCTCCTTCAGCACACACTTTCCGCAGCTGGCAAGACACATGGCATCCCCTCCGTCTGACTCCCCGTTTGTTGTCTTCGTGACGTGGGCGGAAAACCGCTTCAAGACTGCGGTGCACCTTTCCCTTTCAATATCCAGCCATGCCTGAAACTCGTCGAACGTGGTGTTCTTCGTTTCAGCAATTGCCTGAAGTCTGGCTGACATATCCTCCCTCAGACGAGTAACGTCTATATCTTTCATGTTGTCAAGCAACAACCAGAACACGGTGAACATCCTGTGCTCCGCAGTTTCTGTCATTTCGTCGAGGAGCGACTTGAGGCGGCGTAGTTCGTCTGACATCTCTCTAAGCAGTACTTTCTGCTTATGCACCTCCTTTGTTAGCTTGCCTATATGTTCTCGGTCGCTAACTACAGTCCGACCCCTGTTTCGATCCGTTTCAGGTGTCTTATGGTCCTTGCCGCGTGGGGGAAGGAACTCATCCATCCTTGCATGACACTCTCCGACCAGATTTATTTTTTGTCCGGTCGTGGTGAACCTTGACATCTGGAAAGCATTGTATATACAGAGAAATACGTGGACACAGCAAAAGAGAGAGAGAGAGAGAGACAGAGAGGGAGTCTCACTGCTTCCGTACAATGGCGTCAACGGGGACCTACCAAACACTATCTATGTGTAAATGTAATGTGGCGACACTAGTTTTTACGACTCAACATCTGCGTCCCCCCCCGTACATGAGTCCATACATCACTGAACAACACGGCACAACTCCGACATGGCAGACCCTTATTTCGAAACGCAAGCGTCAGAACCAGGAATTAAGCAAGACATGAACGCTAGAACACATGCAAGTAAACACATATAAAACGGCTGCGACAGAGACACAGAGAGAGAGCCCTGTTCCGGACCCAGAGATAGAGACAATCTCCACGAACAAAGAAACTGCTGGATGGTCCGCCATTCTGATGTTGACCGAAGTTGGCTACTGCGGGCCAAAAATACACATATGCACATCGATGCGTGTGCCGGTGGCCCGCAGTA